AATTAATTATATTTATATTATATATATATTATATATATATAATATAAATAAATATAATATACATAAATACACCAGGGGGCCCCTCTTTATTAATATTTATATATAAACACTTTGCTGCTGTTGTTGCTGCTGCTACTGCAGCAGCAACAACAGCAGCAGCGGCATCATCATCATCAACAACAACAACAACAGCAGCAGCAGCAGCAGCAACAGCAGCAACAATTATTTGTTGCTGTTGTTACCCTACTATAACTGTACCAATAGGTAAGTAATAAACCGTATAATCTGCTGCTGCTGCTGCTGCTGCTGTTGCTGCTGCTGCATCTCCACCTCCTCCTCTTCTTTTTGTTCTTGCTGCTGCAGTAGCTGCTGCAGTAGCTGCTATTGCTGCAGCAGCTGCTGCACTTCCAGAGCCACCGGTTTGACGGTAAAAACAGCAGCAGCAGGAGCACCACCGCAGCAGCAGCAGCAGCACCACCGCAGCAGCAGCAGCAGGAGAAGAAGAATAATAATAATAATAATAATAATTTATTCAAGGAATACTCTAATAATTTTACCATTAAGATCCCCACCATCAAATCTTTTTACTGCCTCAATTGCATAAGAAGATTTAGTAAAAGAAACAGCAACACGACCTGTATGTACACCTGAACTATTCAATAATAATTCACAATATATTACCTCACCTACACAAGAAAATGCACCACCTATTTCTTCACAAGTTAGATCTAATGGTACATTAGATACTATTACTGTTGCTCCCTGTATATTTATACACAAAAAAAAACAAAAAAAAAAAAAAAGAAATAAAATGATGTATCTAAACCCTTTACACTAAAAAAAAAAAAAAATCATGAAATTTTATGTACGTAAACCCTAAACCCTAAACCCTAAATATTGCCAGGGTTTTATGGATATATATATATATATATTGGTATATATTTATATGTATGTATTATTTATATATTTTGTATTTATAAGGTATAATTCAACAATATACTGCATATATTCAGGGTTTAGGGTTTAGGGTTTAGGGTTTATGACAGAGAGGGAAACATATCTAGGGTTTAGGGTTTATGGATTTATCTTGGTGTAGTATTTAGGGTTTAATCCGTGTTAAGGGTTTAATTAGTGTTTATTATCTAATTAGTGTTTAATTAGTGTTTAATTAGTGTTTAAGGTTTAATCCGTGTTAAAAGTTTAATTAGGGTTTAGGGTTTAGGGTTTAGGGTTTACGGTCAAATTAGGGTTTAGGGTTTAGGGTTTAGGGTTTAGGGTTTACGTACTCCTGGATTATTAGGTGGTGTAGGGGTTAGATGTTCATTAAATGGATGATTATTTGCAAAAGGAATTAAAGAACGAAAAGGAGGAAAAGGTTTATAATAATTGCTGCTGCTGCTGCTGCTGCTGCTGCTGCTTCCTTCTATTATACCTCCTGTTGATACTCTATTTCCCTATACACCACACACATCACATTCATTTGCTGCTGCTGCTGCTGCTGCTAGTTCTGCTGCTGCTAGTTCTGCTGCTGCTGCTAGTTCTGCTGCTGCTGCTGCTGCTGCTGCTGGTTGTGGTTGTCGTGGTGGTGTGGCTATGCTACTGCTCCTGCTGCTGCTGTTGCTGCTTGTGCTGCTAATTGTGCAGCTGCTGCTGTGGGACAAGCATAAGTGTACATAAACCCTAGAAGCTGCCTATACACCTGAATAAATAAATAAATAAATAAATAAATAAATAAATAAATAAATAAATAAATAAATAGGTGCCTATACACCTGAACTTACTCTTTCAACAGTAATTTGATTTCCTCCAACTTTTGCATTTTGCATATCGGACAGAGCAACACGGCATGCAGACACGTCGGAAAATTGAATCCAGCTGCGTATACACCCCAAAACCCTAAACCCTAAACCCTAAACCCTAAACCCTAGGATAGGAATTTAAAAAAAAAAAATAAAAAAAGTTGGATAGAGGGATTATTTGCAATATGCTGAAAAATAGAGATAGAAACCCTAAACCCTAAACCCTCTATACACCCCACAAACAATAAACCCTAAACCCTAAACCCTAAACCCTCACGCTTCGCCATCTCTTCTTGGTACAACACCTATGATGGTGCCGCAATGACCAAAAGATCTTCGTACCATTCCCTCCAAACGAGGCCATGGAATCCCTGATACGCAAACCCTAAACCCTAAACCCTAAACCCTAAACCCTAAAAAAAAAACCTTCTTAAATTTAAATCCCTCGAGCATAAACCACTACTGCAGAAATTAACCTCTAATGATTAAACCCTAGATCCTACTACCTGCCCAGTACCAAGACACCCCTACAAACCCTAAACCCTAAACCCTAAACCCTAAACCCTAGATTTACCGGTGGGGAGGCCTATAACCTTGACAGAGTACCCAACACCTGGCACTGAATAAACAAAAACAAGAAAAACAGACAACAAGCCATCAAAATGCTGCTGCTGCTGCTGCTGCTGCTGCTCCTGCTAGTGCTGCTGTTGCTGCTGTTGTTGCTGTTGCTGCTGTTGTTGTTGTTGCTGCTGCTGTTGCTGCTGCTGCTTACCACCATTGTGCTGATAAGAATAGGGTCCTCCACGAGGTGTATAGGGACCAACAGCAGCAGCAGCATTATTCCTCCTGCGTCGTTGGGGGCCTCCTTGCTGCGGGCTGTCCTGCTGCTGCTGCTTCTGCTGCTGCTTCTGCTGCTGCTGCTGCTGCTTCTGCTGCTTGTTATTAAGTGCAATGATTTCGTCAAGGCTAAGAGAGAGTTTCTCCTTAACCGAGTCGCTATGTCGGTCTGCCATTGCGGGCCAGGGTTTAGGGTTTAGGGTTTAGGGTTTAGGGTTAAGTGGCTAGACGAATCTGCCCTTAGATGGAGTGCTGGTCCGCTAAAACCAAGACAAAAACTAAACCCCTGCTGCAGCAGCAGCAAAAAGGGGCAGTAGTAGCAGCAGCAGCAGCAGCCACCGCAGCAGCTGCAGCAGCAATGGGGGGACCGCAGCAACGACGAAGAAGCAACGGGTATGACGGAGGGGGTTTTAGTTGCTGGTGTGGGTAAGAGGTGGGGAAAGCTCTAAATCTACAAATTAGGGTTTAGGGTTTAGGGTTTAGGGTTTAGGGGCCGTTACAAGAGGCTCCGCGCATGCAGCCCCAATAAAGAAAGGGTCTGTTGTTGTTGTTGTCTCTGTTGGTTGTCTCGTTACGTTACTAGTGCTCCTGTAATCCAAACCCTTAACCCTTAACCCGAAACCCTAAACCCTAAACCCTAATTTGTATCATGTGTTGCACCTCGCAGCACCTCCGTGTCAGTGAGGGTTTACGGTTGCTGCTATTGTTTAGTGTTTGCTGCTTCCCCTAGCGCCTCCCTCTCTATGCTGCACCAAACCCTCACACCTTCTCTTTTTAATTGTTTTAATTAAATACACCTTATTAAATTCATGTTAGGGTTTAGGGTTTAGGGTTTAGGGTTTACGGGGTTCATCTTAGCGAAGCCCACAGACCAGAGGGTTTCAAACCCTCAGCCCACCAAACCCTCAAAAGACTCTCCGCAGCAGCAGCAGCAGCAGCAGCAATTGCTGCTGGTGCTGCGGCTGCTGCTTAAGCTGCTGCTGCTGCTGCAGCTCTAGTGTGCATGTGTACCAATACTGTTACTACAATTGCTGCTGCTGCCCTGCTGCTGCTGCTGCTGCAACAGCAGCAGCAGCGTTAGACGGTAGCAGATATAAATTCTTCTATTAGTGCATCGGCAGCAAGAAAAATAGATTGTTGCTGCTCTTGTTGCTTCTCTGGCTGCTGCTGCTGCTGCTGCTCCTCCTCCTCCTCTTGGTGCTGCTCTAGCTGCTCCTGCTGCTGCTGCTGCGACTTCCCTTGCTGCTCTCCAGCAGATACATCTTGCGGATGTCTTCTAGCTGCAGCACGCTCCTGCCGCTGCTGTTGCCTCGGCTCCTGCTGCTGCTGTCTTTGCTGCTGCCGCTGCTTGGGTTGCGCAGCAGGAGCAGCAGCTCCCGCTGCACCTGCGCTTCCCACTGCTGCCAACTGCCTGCTTCTGGTGGTGATAATCTTCTTGCTGCTGCTGCTGCTGCTGCTACTACTGCTGCTGCTACTGCTGCTGCAGAAGGATACTGTTGTGACGACGCTGCTGCTCCTCCTGCGGCTGCTAGGCAGCAGCTCCTGCTGCTGTCTGCTGCTAGGGCGACCCCACGAGGAGCTCTCCGGCAGCATAGCAGCAACAGGAGCAGCAGCAGCAGGAACAGCAGCGGCAGCAGCAGAAACATTAGCATCGCTGCCCTCAGCTGCAGCAACTTCCTGCTGCCTCCTAGTAGATGTACCGAAGATAAAGGTACCAAAGGAAGTAGTAGCTGCTGCTGCTGCTGCAGGGGTTGGAGATGCAGCAGGAGCAGCAGCAGGAGCAGCCGTTGCACGTTTAGCAGCAGCAGCACGAGTATCAGCAGCACCAGAAGCAGCAGGAGTAAGTAGTATAGTAGGGATGGCTGCGTTTGCTGCAGCAACGTCAGCTGCAGCAGCAGCAGCATCCTTTGGTGCAGCAGCAGCAGCAGGTTTGCTGCTGTTGCCTTTCATCCATTCCCCCGATGCATGCGCAGCAAGCAGCTTCTTCTGCTGCTGCAGCACCGCCAGCCGCTGCAGCAGCAAACTGTGCTGCCGCTGCAGCTGCTGCAGCTCCCATTCCTCTTCTGAGTCTTGCTGCTCGTCGGAGCACTCATCCTGCTGCTGTTGCTGCTGCTGCTGCAACTGCTGCTGCTGCAGAGGCAGAGAACTGTCACTGGAGTGGGCTGATGCAGCAGCAGCAGCCGTGAAATGAGTTCCTTTTGCTGCTGCTGCTGCTGCTGGCGCTGCTGCTGCTGCATCGGGTATTTCGCTCATAGCTACACCCGGGGCTCTGCGCAACACAAACAGACTAAACCCTAAACCCTAAACCCTAAACCCTACGTAAGAAACACTAGGCACTAAATGGGGAACCCTTCGTCTAGGCTCTGCTAAGTTTAGCTCTCCTGATGAGGGTTTAGGGTTTAGGGTTTAGGGTTTAGGACGAACAGGTCCCCAAGATGAACATAGCTGCTGCAGTCTCCTTGCTGCTGCTGCTGCCGCTGCAGCTGCCGTCGTCTTGTTGCCATGCTTATATGTTTACTTGCTGCTGCTGCTGCTTCTGCTGTTTTAGCTGCTGCTGATGCTGCTGCTGCTGCTGCTGCTGCTTGGGACTTTTTAGCTTCTGCAACTGCTGCAGCCTCTCGCATGCGCTGCAGCAAACAAACCACACAACAGCAGCAACAGCAGCAGCAGCAGCAGCATTTAGCAACACTAAGGAATAAGCAGATGCTGCTGGCGCAGCTATCGTTGGAGCTACTGTTGCTGCTGCTGCTGTTGCTGTTGCTGCTGCTGCTGCTGCAGTTAGTGCTTACCCTTGCGCGTTCCATTTCAACTTCTCTTATCCGAAGGCGCCGCAGCAGCGGCTGCTGCTGCTGCTCTTGCTGCTGCCGCTTTTTCTCTGCTAGAGCTGCTGCTGCTGCTGCTGCTCGCACTTGCTGCTGCTGCTGCTGCTGTTGCTGCCTCAGGAGTCGTAGGCGCTCTGCCTGCATCCGCATTCGCAGGACCACCAGCAGCAGCAACACCAACAGCAGCATAAAGAGCAGCAGCAAGAGCAGCAGCAGCAGCAGCAGCAGATGGTAAATATGAATTAGGTGCCTATACACCGCAGCAAACCCTCCTAGGGTTTAGCGTATGTACACACCTCTTCGCTTTGCTGCTGCAGCGCGCAGGACAGCAGCAGCTGCAGGCTTTGCTGCAGTTGCTGCTGCTGCAGCTGCTGCTGCTGCTGCTGAATCCATTCTGCTTCTTGCTGCTGAATCAGCAGCTCCTGCTGCTGCTTCCTTTGCTGCTCTTGCTGCAGACGCAGCTGCTGCAACACAAAGCACAGAAGCAGCAGCAGCAGCAGCAATAGTACCAGCAACAGCTACTTGGATACTTCCCACATCTCTATCTTTAGGGTTTAGGGTTTAGGGTTTAGGGTTTACTTGGACGCGCTGCTTTTCTTCTTCTGCATGCTGCTGTCTTGTCTCAACACGGCGACGGGTTATCTCTTGCTGCTGCTGCAGCTGCAGCAGCTGCTGCTGTTGCTGCTGTTGCTGCTGTCTGCGGTGTACCGACGGCCTCCGTGTAGTTTCTTGTGCTGAGAAGGAACGGGATCGTGTTGTTCTTTGCCCGTGCTGCTGCAGCTCTTGCTGCTGCTGGTGGTGGTCTACCTGCTGCTCCAGCTGCTGCTGATGCTGCTGCTGCTGCTGCTGCGAGTCCGCCTCTTGCGAATGCAACTGCAGTTGCTGCAGCAACAGTAGCTGCTGCTGCAGCAGCAGATCATAGTTCTGCTGCTGCTGTTCCTGATTCTGCTGCTCGTACTGCTTATGATGATCATAGAAACTGCCTGCGGTCACCTGTTGACCTGCTGCTGCTGCTGCTGCTGGAGCAACAGCAGCAGCAGTAGCAGCAGCAGATTTTGCTGCTGTATCTGGGAGATCCGCAGAAGAACAAGCAGCAGCAACTGCTGCTGCTGCTCCTGCTGCTAACGCATCAGGAGGGAGGTTAACAACGTTAAATAGAGGCAGCGGTATTCGCCTCATGCCGCCGTAATAAACCCTAAACCCTCCAGCGTCTAGGGTTTAGGGTTTAGGGTTTAGAGCTTTGGGAGCAGACTGCCACTCAGGGCTACCAGAGGAAGGGATCTTTGTGCTGGCGCCTGTGCAGCCAAGGGTTTAGGGTTTAGGGTTTGGGGTTGAGTGTTTAGGGTTTAGGGTTTAGAGTGTGGATGGGTGGGGTTGGTCTTACACTAACGGGTGAGCAGCACATACTCCTGATGAATAGGGTAGTAGCTAAACCCTAAACCCTAAACAAAAACAAAAAATAAAAATTAAATTAAATAATTTATTTGTTTGTTTCCTTGAGGCTGGTGTAATTGCAACTCATGATGGTGCTGCTGCTGCCAGCTGGGGGCCCCTAGCGGCTGCTTAAACCCTAAACCCTAAACCCTAAACCCTTATTGCCTAAAGTTATATCTTCTACTCAGCAACTCTTGGCTTGTATTTAAACTAACTCTTGTTTTCTCGTCCATCTTTCTCTTCCCGCCGGAACGCAGATCTCTCTGTCTTGCAAGGGTTTAGGGTTTAGGGTTTAGGGTTTTTCAGGGTTTGGTATGAAGTGACCCAGAAACGTGTACATCCAGGCAAACCCTTTCTTATCCAGACCCCGCCTGCAATTGGCATGTGCAGTTCTTACAACCCGAGGCTTTAGGCTTTAGGGTTTAGGGTTTAGCGCTTAGCGTTTACGGTTTACTAGGGTTTAGGGTTTGGCACGATGTCCCGCCGATCCCAAATCCTTCTGTTCTTAGCAGTCTTTGTTACCGCCTGCATGACGGCTGCTGCTGCTGCTACCTACGGACACAACAGCCTCCTTATCTGCGCGCTCTCCGTGAGGGTTTAGGGTTTAGGGTTTAGGGTTTAGGGTTTGTTGGCAATGACGACAGCTCAGCTGCAATTGGAGGGTTACGTGTTGGGGTTTAGGGTTTGTTGACGATGACGCAAGACTATCCTACAGAGACCCACTGGGTCCAAATCAAGGGTTTAGGGTTTAGGGTTTAGGGTTTGTGTGCATGCGCGCAGGTGGCGGTTACGCAAATCGTTGTGTTGGGGGTTTGGGGTTTTGTGTCGGTGTTTGTTGGGGCTTGGAGATTGAAAGAAGTACCAGAGGCAGCAGGAGAACTCGCAGCTGTAAACCCTAAACCCTAAACCCTTATTCTAAACTCTAAACCCTTATAAATCTAAACCCTTAATCTAACGCCTATACACTCTTAACCATCAGATGTAAACCCTAAACACTCCGAGCTAAATCATAAGTACAAGCTTTGACACTCAAACCCTAAACCCTCAACTGTAAACCCTAAACATTCGACTCCAAAACCCCAACCCTAAGAGACCTAAACCCTAGACCACCAAATGCATAAGCCCTCGTTCCTCAGCTATAAACCCTAAACCCTTGTGTATCCATACACTGCAGGACTTAAAGAGAGCAAGAGAGGAGCTAAAGAAAAAGGGTTACGTTTGCTGTGATAGCCGAAAAGATGACTGAGGCCGTAAACCCTAAACCCTAAACCCTAACCAACCGGCTATGGGCTATAGCCCCTAAAGCCTAAGAGGGGAGAGAAAGAAATTGAGGCTTGAGGGTTTAGGGTTTAGGGTTTGGGGATTGCTATAAGGATGGGGAGTGTCAATCCCCGGGTTTTAATTGCAGTACTCACGCCTGCCTTCTGCTCCTGCTGCTCTTGCTGCTGCTGCAGCAGCAGCAAGAGCAGCAACAGAAGCTGCAGCTGCTGCAAATAGCATCAGGAAATGCTAACGGAGAGATGCTGTTGCATATACGGTGTGGTTGCCTCACCTGAGTGCAGCAGCAGCTGCTGCTGCAGCTGCTGCTGTTGCTGCTGCTGCTGCAGCAGCATATCCTTTCCTTTAGACTTTGCAGCAAATACAGCTAAAGACATGAGGATTATTGGGGTGTACATACACAGCAACGTCAACCGCAAACCGCTGCTCTCGTTCATGCAATCCACAGTAGCCTTCCCCTGCAGCAGCAGCAGCAGCAGCAACAGCAGCAGCAACAACAACAATCTATTTAGAGTTCGGCTTCTGGCTCCTTCAGCCCGAATTAGAACCCACGAAAGTTTAGGGTTTAGGGTTTAGGGTTTAGGGTTTACGTCGGGCCCGAGTTCCGCGCATGCAGGTGCAAGGAAATCCTTCAGCCAGCCAAAGAAGAAGGGAGAGGGCACATCTCTGCAAGCAACAAACCCTAAACCCTAACCCTAGACCCTAGTTCACAAACCCTAAACCCTAGCCCTGAACCATAATTAAAAAACTCTAACCCTAAACCCTAAACCCTAGTTCTGAACACTACAACTACCAAACTCAGCAGCCTGTACCCGATAAGACATTCGTTTAACATTCGTTGTTTGTTGACTAGGGTTTAGGGTTTAGGGTTTAGGGTTTACCCTAATGCATGCATATAACAGATGCAAATTGCATTAGCGAAGAAGCGGCTTTCATAAGGCACAGAGTTAAGGACAGCAAGAGACAAGCTAACCTGCAAACAACAAACCCTAAACCCTAAACCCTCGAATAATAAGCCAGATTCATAGGCACTTAACTGCTCACAAGATATACATTTAAACAAACCCTAAACCCTTAAAAGAAAAACGATCGTTTTAGCTGCAAGTTGCGGTGGGTGTTCGCCACTAGGGTTTAGCACTAGGGTTTAGGGTTTAGGGTTTAGGGTTTACTTGTGAAACTTGGAGAACCAGAAATCCGAGGGTTTGTAGCAATAGATAAAGAGAAGGGATTTGCTGTTAATAAAAAGAAGGAAAAAGGAAGAAGAAAACAGCCCAATGCAGGGTTTAGGGTTTGGAAATTAGGGTTTAGGGTTTAGGGTTTAGGGTTTACCAACCATGAAGCAAGCAGTAATAAGAAACACAACAGAGAAGGCTGTTGTATAGGTAGCACCTCCGCACAACTCATGCAGCCGCAGCAGCCTGCAGCAAAAGCAGCAGCAGCAGCAACAGCAACAGAGGTAACAGCAGCAGCTGCTGCTGCAGTAGGAGCAGCAGAAGCAGCAGCAGAAGAAGCAAATGCAGCAACAGCAGCGAGTGAATGGACCTGCTTCTCTCTTCTGCAAAGGCAGCAAATTCTTTTTGCTGCGGCTCCAGGCGGTCAGTTGCTGCTGCTGCTCTTGCTGCTGTTGCTGCTGCTGTTACTGCTGCTGCTGCTTTGATGCATGGAGGTGCGCCAGGACTTATGGAATCCTGCGTCAGCATGTGGCCTTCTTGCTGCTGCTGTTGCTGCTCTTGCTGCTGCTGCTGCATTTCTGAATTCGGCTGTACTGCTGCTGAGTCACATGGTTTTCCTGCTGCTGCTGCTGCTGCTGTAGGCTGCGTTTCTCCTGCTGCTGCTGTTGCTGCTGTTAGTGTTGTTTCGAGCCTTCTTGGCCAGTGCAAAGATGCAGCAGCAGCAACATCAGCAGCATCAGCAGCAGCAGCAGCAGCAGCAGCTCTCCCTTCAAGTGCCTCCGCAACCCATCCCCCCACCAAAGTTCCTAAAGCATACCAAAAGGCCAACACGTATTAGGGTTTAGGGTTTAGGGTTTAGTGGTTAGGGTTTAGTGTTGAGGGTTTAGGGTTTAGGGTTTATATACCTGCAAGTCCTGCTACAGCAACAGTAGCACTAATAGCAGCAGCAGCAGCAAGCTCTGATGAAAATAAAGAAAGAGATAAAGATACACCTGGTAAAAAAGCCCCAACCCCCTGCAGCACAGCTGCGTATACACCGTAGGCAAAACATATGCATGCAAAAGGAACAGAAAATAATGCATGCAGCTGACGGCAGAAGCCAATAGTGCTGCTGCTGCTGTTGCTGTTGTTGCTGCTGCTGCCGATCATGGCAGACGAGTGCTGCTGCTGCTCCTCCTCCTCCTCCTCTTCAGCTGCAGCAGTGGAAGGTGTTGAGGAATTTGCTGCTGTGTCAGCTTGAAGCCCCAGTTGCTGCTGCTGCTGCAGGAGTTGCTGCTGCTGCTGCTGCTGGCGATGTAGATGCATGCATAGAGGGAATAGAGCAGCACCTCCAAGCCCCAATAGGAGATAAGAAAGGAACCATCTCCATGCGCTTGCTGCTGCTGCTGCTGCTGCAGATCCAGCAGCAAACCCGACAGGGGCAACAGCTAAATAAGCAGCAACAAGACGTCCTCTTACTTGGGGCTTTGCTGCTGCAGCAATGAGAGGAAAGCCAACCGTTAAGAAAACAGCTTGTGCTGCTCCTGCTGCTGCTCGTGTTGCAGCAAGAAATACGTATGCATCTGCTGCTGCTGCTGCTGCTGCAGAAACAGCAGCAACAACCCACAGCAGCAGTGCACCTAGCAGCAGCAAGAAGGGGGGGAAACGCATGCAAAGAAGAGAAGAAAGAGGGGAGAAGAAAGATATAAATAATACAAATATTGACTGCAGCAAACCAACATATTTACTTGGGGTGTCTGTGCATACAGCCCGCTGCACCATAGCAGCAACTTCTGCTGCTGCACCAGGGACTACCCCTCTATCTGCATACAACAGCAGATTAGCAGCAACAAGAAACAGTACCAATACACTTATACCTCCTCCTGCTGCTGCTGCTGTTGTTGTTGGTGCTGCTGTTGCTGCTGTTGCTGCTGTTGCTGCTGTCTCTGCTGCTGGCGGTGGAGAGGAGTCGCCGTCATGAGGAAGGCAGTCATGGAACACGCAGACGAAACGGGAGGGCTCTTCGTGCTGCTGCTGCTGCTGCTGTTGCTGCTGCTGCTGCAATAGCTGTTGCTGTTGCTGTTGCGGATCCTCCTCCTCCTGCTCGTCCTGTTGCTGCGGATGCTGTTGCTGCTGCTGCAACTGCAGCTGCTGGGGCTCACTGAGCCATCCTAGTCTGCTGCGTATGTAACAGAATAGGGAAGGAGAAGCCGCTGCTGCTGCTGCTGCTGTTGCTTCTCTCTGCTGCAGCACAACATTTTCTTCAGACATCCTATCATTAAAGTTGCTGCGTGAATGCCTGAGGGTTTGGTGTTTAGGGTTTAGGGTTTTGGGCGGGGGGGTTTACGCAGGAGCTCAGTCTTAATGGGAGCATCCATCCCTCAGATTCCCTTTGTGCCTAAATGCTAAACACTAAACCCTAAAAACTAAACCCTAAACCCCAAACCCTAGATCTCAAGCCCTAGGAGCAGAAGAATATAGACACCTTAGCCTTCTGTCCAGTGTTTGCCCGGTGGTTTAGGGTTTATGGCGTAAAATGCAACATAAATAAGGGAAAGAGTTAACTCAACAGAGTAGATTATACTTACACTCAGCGTTTCTCCAACCATAATTGAGGAATTACTATTTAGGGTTTGCGAATTAGGGTCAAGGGTTTACGGCCTACGGTTTAGAGTTTACGGTTTCTTCTGTCACCTAGATGCCTGCCCGTACCAACCCCACCTACATGCATTAAACCCTAAACCCTAAACCCTAAACACTAAACCCTAGAGAATCAAAACTAAAAATTCTAATTAAAACCCTAAATGCTGCTGACTTCCATGCACGCCTCTGACTTTTTACGTGCCGACCCACCACTACCACCTTTAAGACCCGAACGTAACCCTAAACCCTAAAGCCTAAACCCTAAACCCTAAACTCTAGAGGTATGAAACCCCTACGCAAAACGAAGAACAGACGAATGCATTAGTGTAAATGGTCTTGTTTTCTTAGAGGAACCTGGACCAAAGATACTACCCTGTTGGCCCTAAACCCTAAAACCCAAACCCTAATCTCCAAACCCCAGAGCTGAACCCTTAACCTTTAACCCTAACAGTAGATGGGTAGGCTGAGTCTCCATTTGTTAATGGGGAAGAACACTATATCATGCATCTCTTTCCCCTTTTCCTCCCGTCTCATTCTTGCTTTGCCTCTCGGGCTTCTATGTATGCAGCTACTTTTGCCTCTTTACCAAATATGCATGCATCGTCGAGCAGTCTGAGCATCTTCTATCATATCTGTGGGGTTTAGGGTTTACGGTTTGGGGTTCCTCGTCTGTTATCTTGCTGACGAATTAAACAGAACAAAAAACACAAAAACCGTACAGCCTTCGCTGACCCAACGGGCCCCTCGGGTTCGTAGTTTATAGTAAACACCAGACCCCCTAAACCCTAAACCCTAAAATCTATCATCGGTTCTCCTTCATTTGAGTTGATGCCAAGGAAACGATGATCCCCGGCCCCAAGATCCGTTCATGGTAACAGCGTTGGTTGTGCTTATATCTGTGGCTAGATGACTCCTTCCTCCTGCTTAATATAACCTATAAGAAGACAAAGTTGACTAGCAACTGTCTACAATGTTTGAGTATTAAGCGAAGAAGGACGCATGCAGGCGTTTTTATGTGGCGCTGTGCTGTTTGTCTTCCACGTTGAGACGTAGCAAGAAGATCGGATCCAATTCACATTGATTTACAGGCTGCTTCCTCCCGCTCATATCCAAGCAATATAATCCTTAATCTCCACATACCTAGAGAAAGGGAAAAGAAGGAAGTTAATTTGTTATCTGCTTTTTTTTTAGGATATCGTACATGATGTATGCTGACTCAATGACTGCTGACTCTATTGCCTCATGGAAGTCCTGGTAGCAGAGCAGATGATAAGGCAGCGACCTAACAAAGAAGCGACCCTCTGTTAACCAGCGAAGATAATAAGAGATTTATTCAGTTGCTTTGCTGAGGAAGTTAATAAAAGATTTATTCAGTTGTTTTCTCTTAAAAACTACCGCTGATGGTTGTAAGAGATGAACTATAGTTGTTAGTTCTTTACAGGGTTATATGCATGCAAGAGGGATAAATATATATAAAGGGATGTCGTCTTCATTTCTTTACACTTTACCTTTTTCTCTCTTCTGCTAATAAACTAGTGGGGGTAGTAACAAGATATGCATATGCATGAGGAACCCACCTGGTCGTTGCTGTTGCGGCGAGCTCATGAATACAACAACACTATGCGTATAAACAGTAATAAGCACGATAAGATAATCATAGATTGAAAGTAATGAAGGAGCCTTATGATGGCAGCGTCTTTGCATGCGTCTGCAATCTCGAGTTGTGTAACAAACAGAGTTTGTTATAAAAGAAGGAAGCAGATATGTTTCTGCTGGATAAGAAAATGTTCTATCCTATTTGTTAGTAGATAGGGCCTTGCAGTCCTCAATACATCAAATACATGCTATTACAACTCCTCTTTAGCGGTCTCCCTCCCCACACAGGTCGAGACCCATAAGGGGCGACTGTCCCCATGGTATTTAGGGGTCAAGAGGAGAGTTAATACGCTGCTCTATGATGGCCCTTCTCCTAGTCGCCTGTTTGTCCTGTAGTACATGACAGTCTTTAATAAAGTCTCTCTTTCTTATCTGTACTAACACTATATGTATATTTGTTATGTTTCTTCTTGCATGTACTTTGCCTATCTAATGGGCAAAGTATGACTCGTGTAAGAACCGTACAAACCTGTTGGGTACTATCGTGGAGGAGCTACGAGAGCTGCAGCGAGTTATGTAAGAAAAACCCGCAAGGACGGAAAAAAAACCCTTTTTTAATGCTAACTCTTGATATTATTTAATGAAGACAGAAGAGTTCCTATAAGAGTCCCTGTAAAGAAGACCGCCTAAGGGAAGTGCCAGAGAAGGGCATAAGGATGAAGCCCTTCTGTTAAGAAGTTGCTGTGTATCGTATTGCATTGAATGAAGCAAGAAAACCCTAAACGTATGCACAAAGAAGAATTGTTTAGTGCATGCACAGCCCCTTACAAAGATAAACTACGTGATTAACTGTTTAATAGCGTAGGCAACAAGGTGCAAGACAGCCCCTCACACAGGCTCATACAAATACACCCCACCTGTTTTTGTTGCATGCACCTGCAGTGCGACAAAGGAATAAATATTTTACTAGTAATTATCAGCAAGAAAGAAAGGGAGAGTGCATGCAAAGAGAGAGGGGTAAGTGAAGGGCATCTCTGTATACACCCAGTGAGGCAGAGCTGGGCAGGGAGGGGAGGTGGAGGATCTTCTTCACCCCCGCTGCAGGGAATATGAATAACTGTTGCTATACAACTCTTCATGCATGTAATATCAAGCCCAAAAGTGTTGCATGCATAACAACGGCAAATAAATGATAAAAGTGCGCTCTGGTCCCCACAGCTAGCAGCTAGCAGAAGGCGGCGTGGCGGCGTTACTATGTGCGGGTATAAATCTACGTGTAAATAAACCAGAAGACTACTAATATACCGCTAAATAGGCATAGAAAAAGAAAATAAATATAAAATAAATATAATTACAGAGATTAATTGGCATGTTACGTTAATTCAAATCCTTGCCTGCTGCTACCATTGAATTGAGAAGAGGAGGATGTGGCAGCGCCGGTGGTTGGTGCCTGGTGTGCGCTCCGAGCTGAGGGGGAGGAGGCGAGAGGGTCGGTAATAGGCATATTTTGCCGTTAAAATATTGAAATTAGTATAAAAATAAATTTAAAAATAAAAGTATTTAATAAAACAAATAAAAAATTAGGAAAAAGCAATAAAATATCACAAAAAGCGGGAGGAAAAAGCGGCAGGAGGAGGGGATCCACCGGAGCGGCACTACAGCTGCTCGCTGGTGCTGGCGTAGCTGCCGCTGCTGCTGCTGCAGCGGGAGGAGCACGAGGGGGAGAAGGGGATTGATCATGTGCAGCACAAGAGTTTGTTTGTATTTTGCATTGTAAGCATTGTTTGTAGTTGCATATTTATTGTTTATTTTATTTGTTTGTCGATTGTTTCCTTTGTTTGCCGCTGCTTTCCTCATTTGTACAGCGTAGTTTGCTTCTTAATTCCCCACAACAGCAGCGAAAATGGCAATGGAAGGAGCAGAGATGAACGAGATGCCACAGCCATCTGCTTCTGGTGTAGAAGTAGAAGCGCAAACTTCTGGTGCTGGCGTTGAGGAGAGCGAGCATGCTGCCCAGGCAGCTCCTGCATCTGAGGGTTTCCTCGCTCCCAAGTCTGCAGGTGATGAGCCCATACCTGTTGATGATCTTATGCAAGCTGCTGCAGCAGCAGTAGAAGCTGCAACAGGAGAGGAGGGTGCAGAAGCAGTAAAGGCATTATTAGATCAGGTTCCTCAGGAGGATCTTGAGAGAGCAGCAGAAGCAATTGTGGCAGCAACATCGACAGGAACATCAGGAAAGACGGGAAGCAAGAAGTTATTACTTGGTGGTCTTATTGGTGGTCTTCTTTCCCTTGCTGCTGGTGCATTTGGAGCTAAACACTACATGGCATTGAAGCAGGCTCAGGGAGAAGAAGGAGCAGTAATCCCACCACCAGAAGTACCACTCACACCCGAACAAGCAGCAGAAGCAGCAGAAGCAGCAGCAGCAGCAGCAGCAGGTCTAATGAAGGATATCTTGGGGGAAGGAGGAGAAAGATCATTGGAAGATGTACTCGAAGATGCAAAACGAGAGATGAGGTCATTGGGTCAGCCAGAGGGTAAGGGGGATGAGCCAGAAGTTAAGCCAGCAGCAGATAAACCAACCCAGGCAGCAGCACCAGCACCACCCCAAGCAGCAGCACAGGAGGTAAAGGCGGAACAACCACAACCTGAACAGCCAGCAGAGGAGGAAGAAGAGGAGTCAGAAGAGGAGCCAAGGGACGTAGCCGGTATGGAGGACTTGCAGAAATTGATGCCTCCTCGCTCTCCCTCTGATCCTTATGATGAGGTCGATACCCCCGCACCTGCACCCCCGAAGACCGAATAGGTAATAGCCATATCCTCTATATTAACAATAATTATAACAGATATTTTATTACCTATTCTCTCTACTATTGCTGGTGATGCAGCTAAGATTATTTTAGCAATGCAGTATTAGCTGCAGCAGCTGCAACATCATCAGCATCAGCAGCAACAGCAACAGCAACAGCAGCAGCAGCTTAAGTAGGTAAGTAATTAACTCTAGTTATTATTACTAGGTCTTACTTTTATATATATATAGCAGTCTGTTATTACTGCTTATTATTATTGCTGCTTCCTTCTATCATGCAGCAACAGCAACAACAACTAGCTAGCTAGCTAGCTAACCAGGTCAATAGCTAGTTAGCTATCTGGCTAGCCAGTTAGCTAGCGCTAGCTTAATAGCCAGGTTGCTGCTAGCCATCTGGCTAGCCTTACAGCTCGCTGACATGCCGGGCGACCAACTAACTTGTTAGCTAGCTATCTAGCTAGCTAACGAGACAGGTAGTTAGCTTTATGCTAACTGGCTAACTAACTAGTCATATATGTATATATGGCTAGATAGATTAGCTAGCTAGCTAGCTAGCTAGCTAATTCAGGGTCTCCTTTCTGCACTTTCCCTATTTATTTGGGTTTGTGTTGTTTAAAGAACGGACAGCAATTTATAATCACATAAGAAGACAACGGGACAAAAAAAGGTACACATTATTAGTATAGATGCAGCATAATATTAGCAGCAGCAGCAGCAATAACAGCAGAAGTATATATAGCACTTCCTATATATAGCTGCTTAAGTAGCTAGCTAGCCAACAAAGTAGCTCGCTATCTGACTAGCCAGACAGCTACGTACTAACAAAGTGCCCACCAGGGGTGCCTATCTGTCCCTTGCCTACCTCTGGCTAGCTAGCTAGTTAGGTACCTATCTACATAGCTAGCTGGGGGTCTACGTGGAGAGCTAGCTAGCTAGACGGAGATGGGATCCTACAGTATCTATATAGCTATATATTCATATCCTGTAAACCCTAAACCCTTGAGGAACAAACCCTCTGAATTAAACACCATTAAATAATCCCCTTTAGTCCCCCATGCAGCAGTCAGCGGCTGCTGCTTATTAATATAGGCAGCAACAATGTAAACAGATACTAGCTAGCCAGGTAGATAGCTAGCTAGATAAGAGATAAATGCTAGCTATCTAGCTACACCTAGCTAGCTAGCTAGCTAAATACTGGCTAGCTAGCTAGCTAGCTAGCCAGCTAATAGCCAAGAACTCTTCCGCTGGTTTAACACAGATATGCCAGCTAACGATGTAATTAGCTAACCGATTGGCTAGCCAGCTAGCTAGCTAGCTAGCTAGCTAGTTAGCTAGCTAATTAGCTTGACAGATAGATAGAAAGGAGAGTAGCTAGCTAGCTAACTAGCTAGCTAGCTAGCTAAATATATATATAGGAGGAATTAAGCAAATAAATCCTCCCTGTCTCCTACGTCCGCCTCTTGCTGCTCTAATTGCGTAAATTGAAGGAAATGAGCAGGCCTATAAGAAAAAAAAAAAGACACATAAATAAAAAAGAACACAGATATAAATAAATATACCAATAGATATATCAATAAAAAGGTAATTAAATAATAAATAAAATAAAATAAATAAATAAAATAAATAAATATAATTGCCCGTGTTATTCATGATAAAAGTCTTCAGGTGTATCTAATACAACATTATATTGAATAATACAATTAAATTTAGCCAACATAAAATAACACCAATACATACATGAATAAATACATGAATAAAAAGGTAATTAAATAATAAATAAGTATATATTAATTGATTTATTGATTTATTTACCTGTGTTGTTCATGATAGAAATCTTTAGGTGTATCCAATACAAGATTATATTTAATATTAGGATTAAATTTAACCCCCATAAAATTATAATTCCAAATTCCACCATCAGAAGGAACGAGAAAAAATCCAAGAAATACATCTGATAGTAGCATTTGTACTTTTTCTGCATATCCTTTTACACTACCTAATGGATTTAATGTTGCATCCTTTTATTTTTATTATTTATTAAATGAGGGGAGGAGAAGGAGAGGAGGAGGAAAAGGAGGAGGAGACGGGCAGGATGAATACACACATACACACATACGCACACACAGAGAGGAGGAGAGGATTAATCTTTTGTTATTTGGTGGTTATTTATATATGCATGTGTTTATATATAATATATATAAATAATATATAATAAATAAATAATAAATAATACATAATAAACAATAACAATAGGTAACTAATAAATAATAAAAATAATAACAAAAAGGAAAGAATAACAGGAAGAATACAAACAATTATGCAATAACACTAATAAGAAGAGTAAATAATAAAAAAAAGAGAAAATAACAAAATAAGAACAAGAAAAACAAGAAGAAAGAAGAAAATATAAACAACAACAGGAACAATAAAAAAGAAGATAAACCAGCCAAATAACCAATTAATCAATAGTATAGAATATAATAAACAAATAAATAGAATAAAATAAGAAAAAATAAAAGAAATAAATAAATAAGACTTACTTTATTAGCTTTTCCCCATTGATACCCTTGAGGGGTAAGTCTATATGCAGTTAATGAGCAACTACCAGGTGTAAATGCACAAGTAATAATAATAGATGTATTTGCATCCCAAGATTTATTATCATTTAATATTTTTGCATGCATTTGTATATCTTTAGGTAATAAGTTAGGATTCTCATTAGGTTGTGTATGTATCCATCCTAATGGTTCTAATCCATCAAGATAAGGGCAATTATTAATAATAATATTATTATTATTACTATTATTATTTATATTATTATTATTAGGTAATGTATTTGGTAAGGATACACCCTGATGACTAGATACTTGAGGAGGTAACACCATACATCTTATTTCCTTTATATTTGGGTTATCCGTAGAGGATATACCATATATATATGCAGCTATTTGTGTACGTAAATCACTAATAGATATAAATTTCTTTAATAAATTCTTGGGCATAATATATGTACAACCTGAATCAATTAATAAATTACTATTATCTTTATTATTATTATTTGTTGTATCTATATTATTATTTATACTATTTACATATACATGTTGTGTTCTTAGATATAAAGAAGATGCAGCTATTGCTCGTACTCGCCAATCTGTCTTAGAGGAGAAGACTTGTTGCTCATGAGGAGATTGAGTAGCAACAATCATTTCTTCTCCATGTATATTAACACTTCTTGTTGTTGTTGATGTTACTTGTTGTTGTTGTTGTTGCTCTCTTGCTTGTGTCTCTATCTCTGCTATCTGCTGCCTCTGTAGGGAAGGAGGAGCTATCTCCATACCTAATATAATATCTCTTATTTCTGATTGTGTTAAGGAAGCAACATTAACATTATTTTTCTTAGCATAATCCGCAAGAATAAGATCTTTTAATGTAACCTCTACATGTATCCATTCTTCATCAGTTAATGATGGCCATATATGATGAGATAATGTAGTAGTACTCTTATTAGGTCTTAATATACATTTAGTCCTCTCTGTATTTACCTGTAATGCTCTTAATAATAATAACATACGCGAAAAAGATGTATATGCACTTATACTCTTTAGCCAATCATCATAAAGATTGAATAATACCATTTCTGGTTGTGTAGCTCGTAGAATCATATCACCAAACTTTTCTATTTTCATTAATGCTTGGAATGGTAGATTTAATTCACTTCCTTTTATAACTATATTAGGGAAATCTAATAAATGTACCTCTAATGGATCCAACATTCCTTTTCTTGTTGCTATTATCTGCTTAGGTTGCTCCTCTACAGGTAACGAACGAATCAATGCAGCAACCTCTTCTGCTGTCTTCCATCGAGCTAATTGAGTTAAACGCTTCTGACCAGCCCACACCGATGTATGAATAATCTTCAAAAATAATTGACCTGTACACAGATATATACATATTTATATATTTATTTATTTACTTATTTTTATTTATTTAGTTGTCTTATTTAGGTTCTTGTGATTATATTGAGTGGTTATACGGTGTTTATATCTGTTGTGAATATATAATATACACGTAAAAGAAAGACACAAGAAAAACGTACACATACATATGCATTATATATGCAACATAGAGGGAAAGCAAATAATAACAGTGTAAGAAGGCACCGCAGGAGATGAGAAAAGGAGGAGAATAAGGCATACAGAACTCAAGAAGTATACAAGAAAAAGAACCCATCAATAAAAAGAGGAAGAAAAGGAGAAAAATAAATAAACAAATATAATAAATAAATAAATAAGTAATAAATAAACATACCTGTTCTTGGATTAAAGATGAATATAACACCATTAACAGGTTTAGTGGTAAGATTTCCTTCAAAAGTTTTATGAATAGTAACTCTATAGACATTAGTATCATCAATAAACCATACAGTCTGATTAGAAAATAATTCGCCATAATTCTGTGAATTTAAATATGGCTCAGTTGGCTCAGAAGAATATAATTGTAAACCTTTACGTATACGTTCGCGTAACACGTATAACGCAGGGTTTGCCTGCATGCACAAATAGCAGCAACAGCAGCAGCGAATGCAGCAAATTAAGCAGCAGCAGGAATACTGGATATAAATGTAAACCGTAAATAAACCCTAAATAAACCGTAAATAAACCCTAAATACTAATAAATAATACTACTACTCATACCTTCATGATCTTATTCATAGCTCTTTGCATAAGAGGTTTAAGTCCTGGTATCCAATGACCAAATGCAGAATGTAGATTATATGCTAAATCTATACCAATTAATATACCCGAAGGAGAAGGATAAATAGACATATTATCTGTTGTATAATCTAAGAATTTAGATCGGACATAACGCTCTATATCATGACTATCATAGTCACCCCAACGTAATTGGACATCTAACCTGTATACAACATATACATACACATATTTATTTATTTATTTAATATATTTTAGGGGTTATATATTTGTTTTTGCGTTTATTGGTTACTTTTTGTTGATATATACATAGTAATATGAACAGCAATAACAGCAGCAGCAACACAACAACAGCAGCAGCAACAGCAGCAGCAGTATATGCATAATTACCAGTGTTTAGTAGCTGTAGCTCCTTCCATGATATCTTTAGCCTCTGCTAATAATGAGGGTTTAGAGATTGGCCATTTATAAGAAGCAAATAATAATATATCCGCACAAGATGAATTCATCTTATAAGATTTACGAGGATGAATTGTCTCTTTTTGTACCATTTCTACCTCTAAGGAATCCAACTCCATATCAAATACCTAATACATAAAAAAAGGAAAGAAATCCTAAACCCTAAACCCTCAAAAAACCCTCAAAAAATTCTAAACCCTAAACACTCAAAAAACGAAAATATAAACCATCAGAAACACTGAACACTAAGCCCTAGATTATACAAACCCATTATTATTCATGACACACTATGAATAATATATATATATATATATA